AAAAAGACAAGCTACAAACCAGAAGAGATTTGCAGCGCATTTAATGGACAACACAAATATATTAAGAACTCCCTAAAATCAATTTAAAAACAAAAAATAGAAACTGAAAATGGGCAAAGGATAGGACAGGCAAGTTACAGAAAATAAAATAAATAAATAGCAAATAAATGTGTATAAAGATGTTTAACTTCACCAGCAACCAAAAAAATGTAAATAAAAACCACAGTGAAACATATTAACATCTTGCAGACTGGCAAAAATATTGAAGTCTGACAGTATCGAGTGTTGCTGACAATACGGAGCCTGGGCAATTCTCACATATTGCCAGGGGGAGGAGAAATTTGTTCAACCCCTTTGGGGGCAACTTGGCAATATCCAGGAGAGCTGAAAATGTCCATATCCCTCTGTAACCCAGATATCCAGTACTAGGATTCACCTTCTCACACATGTGCACAGGGAGATTTGTACAAGTAGGTTTACTGTAACATTGTCTATAAATATGAAAAATAAGAAATATCCTAAATATCCATCAATAGGAGGTTAAAGAAATAAAGTCTTTAATATTCATACAAGGGAATATTGTAGCAGTAAAATGAATAAACTATCTGTAGCTTACAAATAAGTCAAAATTTGGTTAAGTAAACCACAAAATGATATAAATATCATCACAGTTAAAAATAATGCAGGGTAGGTCTCTATACTGTGTGTGGACACATTCATATGTATGTGTGCATACCTGGTGTGAACCCTGAAGAAGGAGCAGCAGAATCGCATTAGAAAGAGGTGGGGCTCTGACTGTATCTCAATGTATTCTTTCTTAAGCTGGGTAGTGGGTACTTGGTTATTATTCTATTATTCTATATTTTAGTCATACACAAAGAGAAGATGATTCTATGATAAAAGATTTCTCCCTTTAAAATAGGACCGTGAAACTTTTCATGGTAACAGGAGAAATAGTGAGTAGGAAGATGCAAAGCTGTTCTTATTTCCCTTCTCAGTGGTTCTGAGTCTGCAATTACTGTTTCCACAATTGGAGACAGTCGCCTGGAAAAGTCCCTTTCTTACCAATAAACCTTACTAGCGAGGCGGTGGGCTTAGGTACTCACGCTGTATGGCTTTTGTCATTTCTTTCTTTTCTCGGATGAGCTGTTTGCGTCTCTCTCTCCATTCTTTGTTAAGTTTTTGCTGCTTGGCATTTTCCTCCTGGAGCTCATGGATTCGTTCTTGCAGCCGTTTCAAGGCATGGTTAGAGAAGACCAAAGTCCCAGAAAGATCACTAGGTATTTCTCCAAATACCACATACTCTATCTACAAGCATAACACAAGTCACAATAAAAAAGAAAACAGACAAAGACACAGATTTTGTATGGCAACAGAAAGCATAAGAGGTGCACTTCTTTCTCTGCCCCTCGTTTAGCTCCTCAGCTTTGGGCTCCTCCATCTTCCTCACCGAGTGACAGTGGCCAGGCAAACACAGAGAGATGTTGTCAGAGAGAAAGCCATGTCACATCTCTGTGGGGAGAGCAAATCCCACACAGATCATGCCTATTATCTACTGTATAACAACATGACAAACATTTCAAGGCTGGCATACTAGGCAACCTGCTACACATAGTTCATCCAGTTTTTGTCAGGTTACAGAAAGCATACATAAAGCTGATTTTGTTGTTGTTTTCCTAAAATACAGCTTTTTCTCTTAACCTGACAAAAGATAATACAATGAGCCTTTTCTCTCAATGATATGTATTCCTGCAATTTAAGTTGCAGTTCAAGTAGAAATTAATAAGAAAAGTAAAAAAGAAAAAAATATTTCCCTTTTGTCTCGACCTCCCTCATCAATGAGTAGAGACTAGGCAAAGGTCATTTTAGCATCATTAGTCCATGCACAAGTAAAGATGGTGTGAAAAGTGACACTGGTGTAAGAGCCAACGTTTCACCTCTGAGCCATTCCATTCTTAAATCATAGGCTCTTCATTTCTCTAGACTTGAAATGACTGATTTCCAAAGTGCTAATGAGCTGTAGGGAAACAGGCATGTTTTGATGTTAGTCTTTTATAACAATCTGACAGTGGATAAGACAATTTAGGTGTCATCCTACAGGTAGAATTCTCAGCAAAGAACCAAGATTCTCCCCGTTAGTGAACCATGAATCTTTCTCTGAAAAGTTTGGGTGTGATGACTCTTCTCAGACAGGGTGGAGCAACTCTCCAGATGCATCACCTGGTGGAGCTTGAGCGGAATCACCACCAGCAGTTCATTCAGCCGCTGCTGCTTCTCTCGCTGATAAGCCTCCAGGGCCTCCTCTGCTGCATTCAGATTAGTTGCCACAATTTTCACCTGTAGAAAGCCCAGTGTTATGAAATGGTGACAAGACTTAATGACCATACACCTAAAGGTGGTGAATGAAGGCATCTTTGGAGGAAATAAAGCATGAGCAGAATCTGCTTTGTTGGGCTGTGATTAAGTGCATGAACCCAGTTTGCAACTCAGGAATGCATATTATTTTCTTTCTGCCAAGTTATGATCCATGTCACTCTTTCAATCATTTCTATGACTCCAGAGTTACAACGTTTTGTGAATAAGAGCCTAGAAGACATGTCTTCATGTCCCTTCTATCTTCTGCATGAAAAGCAGCCCTCAGCATGGAATGTCTTTGACAGAATGGTGGGAATCTTTTTTGATCATAATGACTTCAACAAATAAAGTTTCATTGCTTTAAAGCAATGAAGCTGCTAACTATAGTATTTCTAAAGCACATTCTTCATGCCCTAGATAACCTGAAAGTTTTCCAAATCATTTCCTATTTGCAAGAGGAGAAATAATACATCAAAAATATTTCTGAACATGAATCAAGTTAAATGATGTTGTTCTACAGAAGAGTACCTAAGAGGCAAAGTAGGCAGATTAAGGCAGAAATTGATCAATATTATGCCAGAAGTTTATCTTGGTGATCTCCAACATGGGATGCATTCACCCTAGAGAATCAACAAAATAATCTATTGGGGTACAAATTGAGAACGTCAGAGTATATATTTCTACTTATTTTTATCTTGTTCTATTTAATTTGTTTTTATGGATGTTTCCTACTGTACAAAATATATAATAGTTCATAAATACAATTTATAAATACATGTACATTTATTATATGGGGAGGTGCTCCATTTTCTTTTTTTTTTTTTTTTTTTTACTTATAGAGTAATGTCATCAGAAAATTCTGGAGACCCATGACTGAGATAAAGTAACTCCAATTATCAAAAGAGCAATGTCCCCCACCACAATTTAGGGAGAAACAAACCTGGCCTTCACATTTGAAATGTTTTTTTTCTGAGAAGTCCTAACATTGTCATTGCTATGAAATGGCAATATTACAGCGAGGAGAATGTATAGCATTTTGAGAGGATAAATAAGCCTACTTTTTTTGACAATGTCTCATATTCCTTTTTGAGGTTATCGACAATTTTCTTTTCTTCAACTAAAGCCTCCTCAATGTCCAGCCTTTTCTCTCGAAGTTGAAGGGCCAGCTCAAAAAGAGTCACATCACAATCTGCCAAGAGAATTAAAATAAAAACCAGTCTCATCTGTTACGGAATGTGGTGGTACTAGAACTGTGACCTTTAGAGATTCAGAATCAATAATGTCTATTTATGGATGCACTCTAGCAGGCTTTTAAGACACTTATGGCTTAATTGTTCCAGTTTGAAATTATTAATAGAATAACCATAATAATAGTATTGATATTCTGAGCAGTACTCAGAAGCAGACTTTGTGCTAAGCCCTTTATGTACATTATCTCACTCAAGGCTCATGGACCCCACAAGGCAGAAGCTACTGTTCCCATATATAGGTGAAGACCTTAAGTCCCAGAGAGGTGACATAACTGGTGTGTAACAGAATGGGATTCAAGTACATTATCTGTCTATTATTTCTACAATATCACACTAACAGCCACATTTATCCACCAAGTAATAGAGAATATAGAAACAGAATACTAAAATAGAATTCAGGAAGCTTAGGTCCAGCCCTCATAGTATACCATACTGTGAGTCACTGTTCAAGCCATTTAATTATCCTGCTATAAAATGAGTTGCATTAGAAGGTTTGTGTGCTCTATTTCACTCATAAATATTATGATTTTTAAGACCATCATATTCAAAATTAAAACAAGATACAAACTTTATCTGAAATTCAACTTTTAAAATTTAATTAAAGCTTTATTTGAAATGCCTAGAAAAACAAATTATAGATCCCGAACTTGTTTTTTCTCTACTGAACCACTCATCTATTGAGACTGTAAGAAATTGGTCTGGCAGCTCCTGACTGGTTTCACCAGTGAAAACGGTGAATATAAACTGCCAACCATTTTCAGGAAACTAGACAAAATGCCCCTACAAAGATTTGCCGCACAAAAATCTGAATAGATTTGTCAAAGAAGAAGATTATTGTAAAATAAACATACATATTACAGTCTGGCATTTCTCTATAAAATTAAACTTACTACATAATTTATAACTCTGACTCAACTGTCAATTGTCTGCCTATTATTTGTCACTCATAAATGGCTGCCTAAGGGAACAGGTAATAAATCATCCAGAGAGCCCCCAAAAGTATTGGTTAACACTTTCCCTGACCATACTATTGGAAATAGCAACGTTCCTCTCCATCCTCGCTCCTGCACGCCCTTCATTTCTTTTCCCATAGCATGTACTACTTTCTAATATTCTGTTTAATTGTCTTTTTCCACTACACTATAAGCTCCATGAGGATGGAGGAGTTTATTTTATACTCCGATGTCTCCCTAGCATCAGACAAATGCCTGGCACAGAAGTTAAATATTGTTGAATAAATATCCTTATACGTTAAAAAAGGCATTCATTAGACTCTATTTCATACATTTTAAATCATCCTTTCTTTGAATTATCAGAGAACAGACAAACAAAAAAATGGCCTTCTCAGTATTGCCAATAAATAGTCACACTTCATAGAGAATACAAGGCTTTTATCTAACTTACTCGATGGGCAAATAGAATCATCAAAAACCTCATCTTCAGATCCAGACTCATCCTCATCACTCTCCAAGCTAGATTCTTCACTTGATTCCTCACTTTCCTCATCTTCATCTAAGGAAAGATGAGGACATTGTTAACAAGAGAAGTTTCCATATTAAACTAAATACTAGATTTTTAAAGTACACTATTTTTCAATGACTCAGTCACTAGCAAAATAACTTGATCAATATAAGAGTTTTAAATAGTTAAAGACACAAAGAACACAAACCAAATGCCTGCAGAAGGTTGTGCAGTTATTATAAATGGAAGTCAGAGGAGTCTGAGACCAAGTTGCCAAGCTGCAGATGTTGTAGTCCACCTAACACACAGTTAGTGAAATAGACTCACAATTCCTAACTCATAAGACGCTCTAAAATCACAAGTGATTCTTTCCTTCCTTCCCTCCTTCCCCTTCTTTTCCTTTTTCCCTTTCTTCCCATCCTCCCTCCCTCCCTTTTTCTTCCCTCCTTACTTCCTTCCTGCTTCCCTCCTTCCTCCACTCCCCTCTCTCCTTCCCTCCTTCATTCCTTTATTCCTAGATCTGGCTTTGTTGCCCAGGCTGTAGTGCAGTGGCACAATCTCAGCTCACTGCAACCTTTGCCTCCTGGGCTCAAGCAATCCTCCCGCATCATCATGTCCAGCTAATATATGTATTATTATTCTTATTTTTGTAGAGACAGAGTTTCGCCATATTGGCCAGGATGGTCCCAAACTCCTGGGCTCAAGAGATCCACATACCTGGGCCCCCCAAAGTGCTGGGATTACAGGCATGAGCCACTGGGCCTGGCCCTGAAAAGATTTTCATAAGTTTTATGAACTGAAATCATGCTATTTATAGTCTTTATTTAACTTGGTATGAATATTCATGTTTTGCTGAAGAAGTACTAAGATGTTTGATTTTGGGATTCTGTGCCAGAACTTGCTAGTGGTATCATGTTGACAAAGACTCTCTCCTTTAACCTGAGTCAGGCTTCTCCTAGTCCTTTTTCTGACCAGTTCCTGATCTTGAGTTGTGTCCTGAACCTATTTAGTCTGATTGCAGCAAGAATCCTGCAAGTTAATTCAGAAAAAAATTCCCCGCTTTTGATAATGTGATCAAATTCCTCATCACTCTACCCTTATTATCTTATCACTTGTCTTGCCCTCAGCAAATGTCCTCTTAAAACAGTCTACTAAAGAATTACCCTACTTCTCAGTAATTTTCTGTCCACTGATCCCCACACTCTGTTCCTTGGCTATAAATCTCGACATGGCCTTATTGTATCCAGAGTTCACCCCCATCTCTCTTCCCTGTTACAAAAACCCCATACAGTAGTCCCCCTGAATAAAGTCTGCCTTATTGTTTTTATTAAATGTCAGGAATGATTTCTTTATCATATCACATATAATATCTTCAGAAATATTTCTGAACACTAAAATACATCTGTCCCCAAGGGTTTTAGATAAGAGATTGCAGACCTTTCCACTCCAACCGGCCCCATTTTCTTTTAAAGCACCTTGAGGTCATCTATGAACTACAGGTCACCAATTTACAACTAATGCAGCTAAACATTATGTGCAAAACAAACATAAGAAGACTCTGAAAAAATGGAGAGAAGAAAGTAGAGCAACTATGCGCCTTAGAACCTGAGGAACAACACTGTGGCGAGTTCCTTGGATATTCTTTCAGCCTCATCTATCTCAGACTCGGAGATGAATAAGTTGGCAGCCTAGAAACACCAACAGATCTATAGATACAGAAAGTCCCAACAAAAGCTTGCTTTCTCTAGCCCAGGAACGGTGCAGCATAGCAAGACAGAAAACTTTTAGACAATAACTATTCTATTCCAACCAAACACCACAGAAAAACTCAGGTGCAATCCCCAACCAAATCAGCAAAGGTGAAGTGGGGAGGCTAGACATTTCACCCTCACAGGGCTGTAATTAGGTGTCCCAACACTCCCCCTGGATGATGTTAGAGAAGGTCATGAAGGAAGCCAGGACATTTATTCATGCTGGCTGGTAACCAGCCTCGCCCCCACCCTCTCCATCAAGATGCCAGCCTGACTTCCACTCCCAAGGGCATTAACAAGGTACTCTTCCCCCTCCCCTCAGGGGTGGCATCAGAACACTAATAGAGTCAGGACTGTCATCATTATCCACAAGGACTCGCCGTCCCTGCCAGGTTGATCATAGAAACTACATGTGGAGCTGGAACTCCCAACCATACACAGCAGTAACAAAGAGGTCCCTCCTTTTTTGGGTGACCCTTTCCTTGTCAGAGTACTGTTTGAGAATTTCAAGTAAAACGGTGGACTGTGGCCCAAACTACAACATCAAAAATTATCCTGCTAATATACATGCCTGTGAAACCAAGCACGACAATTCACCCCACACAAAGATCCTATACAGAGCCCTTGCCCTTGAAAACATCCATAAATGAAGCCAACTGACTATAATTAATTTACACCACAGTTCAAAAAACAGCAGCTCTGCCAGATGAGAATCAACATAAGAACTCTGGCAATTCAAAAAGACAGAGGTTCCCCTTTCCTCCAAAGAAGTCTACTAGCTCCCCAGAAAAAGTTCTTATCAGTCTAAAGTGACTGAAATGACAAACATAAAGTTCAGAATCTGCATGGCAAGGAATCTCATTGAGAGTCAGGAGATATTTGAAACCCAATCCAAAGAATTCAGTAAAATGATCCAAGAGCTGAAAGATGAAATAAGAAAGAAGAAAAACAAACTTTTTAAAGTTATTAAACCAAACCATTTTAAGAAAGAAGAAAACCAAACTTCTAGAGCTAAAAAACTCACTACAAGAATTTCATAATACAACTGGAATATTAACAGCAGAATAGACTAAGATGAGGAAAGAATCTCAGAGCTCGAAAACTGCTGCTTCGAATCAACTCAGTCAGAGAAAAATAATGAAAAAAATTTCATGAACCAAATCTTTGAAAAATATGGGGATATAGGGTTCTATAAAGAGAACCAATCTATGATTCATTGGTACTCCTGAGAAAGGAGGAGAATAAGCAACTTGGAAAATATATTTGAGAATACATTCCACAAAAATTTCCCTAATCGCATTAGAGAGTTTAACATACAAACCCAAGAAATACAAAGAACCCCAGCTAGATACTATACAAGATGACCAACCCAAGGCACATAGTCATCGGATTCACCAAGGACAATGTAAAATTTAAAAAATCTTAAAGGTAGCTAGAGAGAAATTTCAAGTCACATACAGAGGGAACCCTATCAGGCTACCGGTAGACTGCTAAGCAGAAATCTTTCAAGCAAGAAGAGATTGGGGCCCTATTTTCAGTGTCCTCATAAAGAAAAGAAATTCCAACCAAGAATTTCACATCCTGCCATACTACATTTTGTAAGTGAAGGAGAAATAAAATCCTTCTCAGGTAAGCAAATGCTGAGGGAGTAATTTCAACTAGACCAGTCTTACCAGGCGTTGTTAAGGCAATGTCAAACATGGACTCAAAAAAAAAAAAAAAAAAATGTTTTCTGGATAAGCAAACACTAAGGGAATTTTTTACCAGTAGCCCAGCTATAAATAAGACCTTTAAGGGGGACTCAAAAAAAAAAAAAAAAAATACCTGCTACCACAAAAACACACTTTAGCACACCGCTAACAGGCATTATAAAGTAGCTACAAAATCAAGCCTACGTAACAACCAGCTAACATCATCATGACAGGATCAAAATCACACATATCAATATAATTGAATGTAAATGGGCTAAACACCCCACTTAAAAGTTAAAGTGCCAAACTGGATAAAAAGGCAAGAACAAACCATCTGTTGTCTTCAGGAGACCCATCTCAGATATAATTATACCCATTGGCTCAAAGTAAAAGGGTGGAGAAAGATCTACCATGTAAATGGAAAACAAAAAAAGAGCACGAGTTTCTATTCTTATATCGCTAAAACAGACTTTAAACTGATAAAAATTAAGAACGATAATGAAAAGCATCACATGTTAATAAAGAGAACAATCCAACAGGAAGACTTAACTATCCTAAATATATATGCACCCAACATTAGAGCATGCAGATTTATAAAACAAGTTCTTCCTGGCCTACAAAAAGATTTAGACAACCACATAATAATAGTGTGAGACCTCAGCATCCCACTGACAGCATTAGACAGTTCATCAAGGCAGAAAACAGAAAAACTGTGGACTTAAACTCAACACTTGACCAATTGTACCTAATACATATCTACAGAACACTCAACCCAACAACCCAGAATATACATTCTTCTCATCGGTACACAGAACATATTCTAAGATTGACCACATGCTTGGTATAAAACAAGTCTCAATAAATTGAGAAAAATTAAAATCATACAAAGCACACTGTCAGACCACAGTGCAATAAAAATAGAAATTAATGTCAAGAAGAGCTCTCAAAACTACACAAAGACATGGAAATTAAGCAACTTGCTCCTGGAGAACTACTCAATGAACATCAAAATTAAGACAAAAATTAAACAATTTTTTGAACTCAATAAAAATAGGGACTCAACATACTGAAATCTCTAGAATTCAGCGTTTTTTTTGTTTTGTTTTGTTTTTTGAGACGGAGTTTTTTTTGCTCTTGTTACCCAGGCTGGAGTGCAATGGCGCGATCTCGGCTCACCGCAACCTCCGCCTCCTGGGTTCAGGCAATTCTCCTGCCTCAGCCTCCTGAGTAGCTGGGATTACAGGCACGTGCCACCATGCCCAGCTAATGTTTTGTATTTTTAGTAGAGACGGGGTTTCACCATGTTGACCAGGATGGTCTCGATCTCTTGACCTCGTGATCCACCCGCCTCGGCCTCCCAAAGTGCTGGGATTATAGGCGTGAGCCACCGCGCCCGGCCTAGAATTCAGTGTTAAGAGGATAGTTTATATCCCTAAATGCCTTCATCACAAAATTAGAAATATCTCAAATTAATTTAAAGGAACTAACAGAACAAAGAACAACCCCAAAGCTAACAGAAGAAAATAAAGAACTATAATTACAGAAGAACTTAATGAAGTTGAGATATAAAAATCCATACAAAAGATTCATGTGACCAAGAGGTTTTTTT